TATATATATTTATTTATTTGAGGCAGTGGCCTTATTCTTTACAAAAATATTAATAGATTATAATAGTGTGAGCTGGGGTCTAACCTTTATTTGTATCTTTGTAACATTTATAACATATAGAAAGAGCGCTCCGTTAGTAGCAGGTAAAATCTTTTTTTTTAATTCTGTAATGCATAGCAGTATCTTGGTTAAGGTATTTTACCTAAACATGCACTAAATTGATTTTAAATTATCATATTTGGATTCTTTCTTGTTTCGGAAACGTTCAAACCTTTTTTGATTGGCGCTCAAAAAAATGTCTTTGGCCCACTACATAAGGTCACTTGAGCCCTTGTTAATGTCACCCAGTGTAGTGAAAATGACAACTGTAAATATCTGAAAATTATAGGGTAGTTTGATTGTTGTAATGATAGAAATAAGATTTTACAAAATCCACATAAATGTTGATGCATTAAATGAGTATAAAATTGAATTTTTATTTATGCCTAGAAACTAAATCATGGAAGCAGAAAACATGTTAGAATAGGTTTATTATATGTACTTTAGAACAGGTATAACGCATTAAAAGTCTTAAAAATGGTCTATTATAAGCCTAAGTATACCAGTACAACTGAACAGATAACCCTGACTAAAGATATCTTTAGTAATCTAGATAAGATTAAGTGCGAGGAATATTCTTCGCCCGCTTAATAACACAACTTTAAGGGGTAATTTAAGGGGCCCCGATATTTGTAAGAGAACCTTTTTTCAAATTATTAGTCATTATAAGGCTGTGGCGCATATAAAAAGACTCCAATTTTGGTTGCTGTCTCAGGCGAAGCAAATGCTAAACAACAGAAAAAAAGAGCAAAAGGTACGAGTTGGGTTTTTGATTCAGAGACAGTACTGACACAAGCTTAATCTTTTCTGAAAATAACAAATTCCATTCAAAACAAGGAGGCAGTGCTGGATTAAGGTAGGTTGTACAACTGAAGTTTTTAAAAAGGACCCCCATTTATGGCGAAGCAAATGCTAATCAACAGAAAATAAGAGCAAAAGGTACGATTTGGGTTTTTGATTCAGAGACAGTACTGACACAAGCTTAATCTTTTCTAAAAATAACAAATTCCATTCAAAACAAGGAGGCAGTGCTGGATTAAGGTAGGCTGTACTCCTGAAATTTTTAAAAAGGACCCCCATCTTTTGTAAAAGTCGATTTTAAGCTGTGGCGCATAAAAAATGTCTCCAAAAAAAAGAAGCACTGGGCCTCAAAAAGTCTTAATCCACTAGTATAGATGTGTTCTGTGTATGATACACACTGTATATTCGGTAAAAACAAATATGGAAAAAGGAAAGATACATATTATAACACTGGTTATTTTTTAATGCGATTTTCATATTTTTAATATTTTACATATTATGTGTTAAACAAAAAAAATGGAAAAACCTACTTAGAAAAAATATTATAACACAATCTGAAATAAAACGTGCCTTCCTGGCTTGCTTTCAAAAAATGGTAACTTAACTTTAACCGCTCCTAAAACCGTTTTAATATTATCTTGTGTTACTTTTTATTTAAATAGATAAAGTTTATTCCATTAGAACATCACAAAACTTTACAATCATTTAAACTCTCCCACAGTAAACAGTAACAGCTTTTCTCGCATTCGACGGTGTTAGCAGTTTAGATGTAAAAAAAAACAAATCTAAAAGGAAGATAAATAATAATAAATTTATATGGCACCATCTAAATTTATTACTTTCTTGAAAAACCATTGCATTTGAACTATGTTCCAAAAATATTATTAATTCAAATTTATAACTATTTCTATATAACAGTCTAATATAGTATAAGTTTACTAAAACTAATAACTTGTCGTGGAATATTTGTTGTGGAATATTGTTGTAGAACATTTGTTGTGAAAAATTTGTTGAGGATATTTGTTGTGGGATATATTTAATTATTTGTTGCCCAAAATATATAAATATCTTTAAAATACTACTATTACATACTACTATTAAAAATATTGAAAAGCTGTTAAGATCGAAATAAAAATATGAGAAACCTTGAATAATCTTTACCTTATCGGAATGAAATTGTCATTGCATTTTTCACATAATATCTTCGGAGGAAAGATCTCACACAACTTTGCAAACCATATACAAAACTTTTTTTTTTCAATAACTAAACCAATACATGGGAAATACATTAATTCTCTTCCAAACTTTGTGGAGCATTTTTTCTAAAAATGAAAAAAAATAAATAAACATTTATAGATATTTTCTTATAAAAACTGTTTCTAATTTAAACATAAAAAAAGATGTATAAAAAGTAAATTTGTTTTTTAAATATTTTAGGAAACAGACGTCCCATAGAAACGACACTACCATCTGATGAGACATGACACGACCATCTGATTTCCAATATAACATTTTTTTTAGAGTTTTTAAATGCAGAATGAAAGCATTTATGCCATTATAAGCTTTTAATAAAATGTGGCTATGAAAATAGTCTTTTTTAAATAGTATGCATTATACAGTTCCTCATTATAGTTCTTCGTTTTACTTCATGTTATAAGCCATTTGTTACTTTCTAAAATATTGTATAATTTGTTAAAAATTTAGCAAAAAAAAACAAAAATAATTAAAAAAATCATGTTATTTTATACATAATTTTATTTTCATCATCTTTTCCTTTTATTTATACATGGCTTAAGTAGCATGTTCTTGGGATTTGTCTTTTGATGGTGACACTTTAAAATACTTTTAAGTTGCATTGTTGGGGATGGAATTGATTGATAAATTGTTTTTAGTTTATTAAACTCCATATGAACTGATTCTCCACCCTTCTCACCATAAGACCCAAAGCCAGCACCACATTTTTTCAAAAATGAGACAGCATGATTTTCCAACATATGAAGCTTAGGTGTAACTGAAGCCTTAGGGAAAGTTGCGCGAAAATATTGCATTAAGTCTTCAATATTTTTTTCTAAATAAAAGATGAGTATAATTCTAACAAAAGTTAACTTGGTTTAATTATTACCTAATTTCAGATAAATTAATCAGAAATGAAAAAAAAAATAATTAAAATACAAAAATTACTTACTTAGCAGAGTCAATTTTTCTGTTGTCATAATAATTTTTGAAGAAAAAATATAGTAGCATTGAGAAAATTTATCAAACAGTTTCTTATACTTGGTACTTATTTCAACTGCGGTTTGATGAACATCTGTTCCAGATAATCCTTAATTATAAACCAGATTTGGAATAGAATTGCATAATTCAAGTATTGACTTCTAAATCAAATATTTATAATGCATATATTAATATTTTAAAAACAAAATAAAATATTTCAAGTTATAAAATATAACTTATAAAAATAACATAACACATTTTATAGATATAATAGAATAAAATATTATATATATAATATTATAAATATTTTTATATAATATTACTTAATAATGATATATATATAATATAATAACGCAATATAGTATTCAAACAAAGGTAGTTAGGTTAATTTGTAATATTATTATTAACTAAAATATTACCATTAGAAATATGAAACTTTACTTATATCAAATGATATGTAATTAAAAAAAGCTATTACTTTAAGAGCCGTTTTTTCTAAGAATCAGGCAAATTCCTGAAACTGTGGAAGTGACCTCGTCCAAATTGCTTGAATTTTTTATATATTGATCAGAATATAGAGAAAACCTGTTGGGGAAAAAAAAAATTTCAAAAAAGTTTCGTTCACTCGGAATCTGGGCTTAAATTTTTGAGATTTTTTTAAAAATTTTTAGAAATTTAGTTTTTGCCACCTTTGAACCCATTTTTTTGGCAAGGCAAAAAGTTGCACATAGCTTTTGTAGTTAATATCAGACGTAACCCAAAAGCTCTCTCCAAAAAATATAAAAAAGTTGCGTGACACTGTGCGGTTGGCTAATTATCATAGTTCAAAAGTACAAAATCAATCAGTTTTGTCAATTTTTATTCGGATTTAATTCTAGCGGCGAAGTGTTGCACACAATTTTTCTTTTAGGATTTGAAATTATCAAAGGTATTGAGTCTAAAAATGCAAAGAAAGTTATGTGATACCTAAGGCCTATTAATATATTAAGGCTTGAAATTGGAAAAAAATGTTTTAGTATACTTACAAAATGAACCATTACGGCAGAGGCGCTTAGGATTGTAAAAATGTAAACATATCCAACTGTCAATACAAAAAGGTCCTAACATAATAATAAAAAAAAATTCGTATGATTTTGTCACACGCATGATATAACATGAATTAAAAACTGAACAAAAATCTAACATCAAGATAACTGTATTGCTAATTAAATAAAACATAAATCAAACATTTAAATGTTTTTCCATTTAAAAATTAGTTTTTCATTTATTAATAGAGTCATTTACACACATTATCCACCACATCACACATAATTTCTACTCTGCTGCAGTAAGTTTCTCTAAGAATAATGATATGACTGTATTATAGTCTTCTTCGGATAATGAATAATCGCCACAACCACTGATTAGAAAAGGAGCATTTACTAAACAGATAATTTTATCAGTTTTGTTATTTATCTCCTCGGTAGTAACTGGACAGCGAAAAATATTCTTCTCTTGCCCGTTAATCATACAATTAACTCTGATCCCAGTTATAGATACCTAAAAGTATTAGCGCAACATTTAAAATAATATAATAAAGAGTTTATGATTTGTTTAATTTTGCTTACATTCAATAAAACCTGTAAAGTCTTATATAATGTCATTCTGAAATTATTTTTACATTTTATTTATATTCCTTTTATTTTAGAGCACTGTTTTGTAAAAGAAAATAAAAACTTGAAATTAATATATACTTTGAATAATATTACCTCCACAATATATCCAATATTTCATTGTTTTTCATATGCAACAGCAACCCAATCATTCACTTTCCATACAAGACAATTCTTTTGCAAGATTGGCGATGTCTTCCTCATATTTATTATCATCTTCATTGTCTCCTGTCAGATTAAAGTCATCATTTTCGCCATAAACTTCTTTGTTATCGTTAACCTGACTATTTTTATTATTTTCTGTTGTCGGTTCTACCAGCTTACCTTCTTTTCAGGTTACTAAATCTATAACAATATCAATTGTACATATTTTTAAACATATGTAAACAAAATTATAACTTTCACCTAAATTTTAATTTCATATTTGTAAAAGAACTATTTAACAGTCAGAAACATAATCTAATTTGCAAAAGTTTTGATAGCAACAATGCCTACCTTGAAAATAAAGATATTATCTGTTGGCTAGTTACATATTGATCAGGCGGAAGTTCTCTCCTCAGCTGCATGTGAACCTGCTCAGGGCTCATTTTATTACCTGATTCTTCTCCACGAATAAAGTATTTATACAACAGTTCTTTCTGCTGATTTGAAAATTTAAAAGAACTTCGAACTGGTAATGCCCAACCTTGCAATAGAAAAATGTTCATGCAATGTGGTTTGTCTTTTACGGAAGCACTGTTAAAGGATGAAGAAATTGGCATATTTAGTTGTGAAGTAATTTTCATCTTATGAACAAACGAGTTGCGAACTTTATCCAATGATGTTAATGATTTCGGAACTGTATGAAGACCGGATAGCATGTGTTCTTTTAACTCAGCATCGCTTTCAAATGATAAAGTACAATTCATTTCAGTGCAAAATCTTAATGAATATAATTGCCTGTCACTTCTTTTCTGTTTTTCCTTAAGTGACTTGTTACGCTTAATTGAATTATCTGTTTTGCTATATGGCAACAACAACTTAATCGAGGGTTGAATTTTAAGATTTTCATACTCTTGTTCAATTCCCTCACCAATATTGAAATAACGCCACATCTTCATACTTTTCTCACCAAACTCAAATGAGTGATAGTTGCTAATGTTCTTAATCTTTGGTCCAGTAACTACAGTTTTATCATTGCTAATTTGAGCAACTGCTACTTTTGCATCTTTAGCGCCAAAGCTATAATGCATAGCCTTGTGTATATCTTCAGCAATCAAAAGATTATTACCAGAGTCAACATAACTCCTTAAAATTGTCTTTACAACTGCACTCTCCCTGTCACATTGATCTTTTCCACAACAGGGTTCATTATAATCATATCTCAGCAACTTTATATCTCTCTCTTTGCATACATTGTAGATTGTTTCAGCTGAAAGATTTCCCTGATAGCAGCCGGCATTATCAGATTTGGTAAACATTTTCTTGATATGCGGTTGATCAATTCTGAATTGGTCTAAAACTGCAGTGGCTAACGAAACAACATCACCTATTCCCTGATCACACCTATACATTGAAGTAAAGTAAACACGTTTGAATAACTTTCCTGCTATTTTTATGAAGAATATATCCACATGTAAACTCATTCCTTTCTTGCCAAAATACTCTCTTTGGCCCTCTCTGTATCGAACCGGAAGAATTTTTTGACAAAAATCTTTAAGCCAGAAAGCAGTTTCATCGTTTAATTGCTTAAAAGCTTCGATTTTTGCCTTTTTCTGTTGAGAATCTCTCATCAGGTGTTTTATGTAGTTGAATACATCCTTTACAGCAATTTCCAATTCATAAATAGAATCAGCATCGTCAGAATTTTGAATTGTTAGTTCTTTGATCATCTCGATAGCTTTGCACAAATCATAGCAATCGGCACATACCACTTCTGATATCTCTGTGTTGGATTGAAGATTTTTTTCAGATGGATCTGATAAAGCATGTTTTGAGCTATGAGAAGAAATGTTTGAGTCATTGACACTACAATTGGTTTGATAACTTGTTTTCAAATACCTTTTTCCTTTTTCAAGGGCAGCTTCGAGAGATTTAGAACTAAATCTTTGTGCCAATTTTTGTGATGTTTGAAAACAATTCATGCCTGAAGCAGTAACATCATCTAATCCAACTAAGCTTTTTTGACTTGAAGGTTTTATTGCATGTAATACTTTCCACAAACTTGAATCAGATAATGGTATATAATTGTTTTCACTACAACTTTTTCGATAAAACATGATAGCGTGGCTATATTTTGTCGTCAGTATTGCATGCACTATCTTTTGTTCTTCACCGCTGTTGTATTTTAATTTGGTTATTCCATAAGCAACATCATGCAAAATACCGCTTGTAAATATAAAGTCTAAGAAATGTTCACACTTTGTTTGATCAAGACTAGATCGGACGAATACTTTCTTCTCTGGAAATGCCAACCCTTTATAAGATGCATGCCATTTTCTTGCTGTTTCTATACGATGTTTGGTACACTCAAATGTGTTCATTATAAACTTTTTGGTATACTTGGTATGGTCTAATAATGAGAGGATAACTAACTTTCCCATGGAATCACTTTGCTTATATACTTTCTGAGCACGAATAATTTCAATTGGGAGAGGGCTATTTATTTCATCAACATTTTTACTGTTAAGAAAATCTATAAGTATTTTCTCTTGTCCAGGAGCAACAGCTTCCGCAAATTTTTTCTTTAATAAGTTTTCTAGGCGAACATACTTGCGTTTTAACTTATCTTTAGTAGTATCTTCCAGATATTCGAACTTCCTTTTTAATCTAAATTTTATTGGAATTGCATTAAGAACCTCAGTTACACTCTCACGGCTTCTTAGAGATTCGTCCAAAATCTCCTGTGAAACATTAATTTCACCGGGATCAAATTCTTCATCTGGAGTAGCAGGTGTCATATATGTTTGTTCTTGTTGTGTTTGTGTTTCTGTACATAAATTGGTGTTTTCGTTGACTCTAGATAAAGCAGTTTCTTGCTTTAAATGGGTAAAACACAGCATTGCACCAACTGAAAATACTTCATTGTATCGCGTTGACATTGATATGACGACATGTATTGGTGACGCCCTTAAAGCGGGAGATTTTTTTCCTTTTATATTTAGATGGTGAGGATGAAAGCATGTTTTTAGAGGACTCTATGCAATACCAAACGTGTACCGGTGAAAAGCACATATTTGTTCATCCTTTTCAAGATTTCTTTTAAGTCTATTTGCAATAAGTCCATTTTCTTCCCATATATTATTATCGTTTAATCGCATGATCTAAAAACAATTTTTTAAACAATTATTAAGTGTGTCATTTAAGGCATTGTTTATAATCTGACTCTTCACGAAAAATGTTTACAAGTTTGAAATACATTGTTGTTATTATTAAAATACAGTATTGCAAGAGTGTGATTAAATTAGTGATTATTTATTAAAAGAGTGAGGAATTAATTAAAAGAGCTATTTTTTTTTGTTTAAAGAACTTTGTCTCAAAATCTTATTGCAGAGAAGTTATAAAGTATGTAATTATAAAAATTATATTACAGTCTGCATAAATTTAAAATACATAATTACCTTTAAGTTGATGAGATGTTTCTTAACATCAACATCTCCCAGCTGATGAATGAGAACATTTTGTTTATAATTTTATGTTTTTTGAATGATCCACAATTTCCTTTTGAAAAGCAACAACAGTTTTCATAAAAATATTTGTTTTGTTCCATACTCAACTAAAAACAAGTTCTATTTATGCAGTACCTATTTCTCAATAGCAATGATAAAATATCTACTCTATTTATGCAAATTTTAAAGATCGTTAAAATAAAGTTAAGACATTTTTATGGTAAAGTAAACAACCACCCACTAACTTGTTTCTCCACAATCGTGATATCAGCGATTCTTCTTCCATTCGATCACCACAAGTTATTTGGTTATGACGTAAATTTAAATAATTCACTTCTGATCATGTATTGTTTTTTATTATTATTTATTTCAATTGTTATGATTTCTATATCATAGTCAGAAACGCTTAAATTTTTTCTTAACATTACGTGCAATGTTTTGTGTAATACTAATTGCTAATTTTGGATGATAGAAATTTTATTGTGAGCGGAAACCTCATCTGTGTGTCCAAAAAAATATCTCTTCGTACTTAATCATTTTTAACAATTTGTACCTTTATTTTTAACTTAATATCTAAAGATCACATAAGTTTTTTTTTAAACTATGTTAGGGTCATCTTATATTGACCATTTAACATGATTATATTTTTACAAAACTTAGCGCCTCTGCCGTAATAGCTTATTTTGTAAGTATACTAAAACATTTTTTTCCAATTTCAAGCCTTAATATATTAATAGACCTTAGGTATCACATAACTTTCTTTGCATTTTTAGACTCAATACCTTTGATAATTTCAAATCCTAAAAGAAAAATTGTGTGCAACACTTCGCCGCTAGAATTAACTCCGATTAAAAATTGACAAAACTGATTGATTTTGTACTTTTGAACTATGATAATTAACCAACCGCACAGTGTCACGCAACTTTTTTATATTTTTTGGAGAGAGCTTTTGGGTTACGTCTGATATTAACTACAAAAGCTATGTGCAACTTTTTGCCTTGCTAAAAAAATGGGTTCAAAGGTGGCAAAAACTAAAATTCAAGCAATTTGAAGGAGGTCACTTCCATTGTCTGCCTGATTCTTACAAAAAATGACTCTTAAGCATTTTATGCACATGGTTTCCAATGAAGCTTTTTCCGTGGTACACTTGTCGCTGCACGTTTAATTTTTGAAGAACTGCCTCAATTTATCTTGTGCAAGGTCCTTGACCTTTTTACAGTGAATGCTTTTGCATAAGAGTATTGTATTGATTAGTCTAGAGAAACAAAAAATATTTTTATAAGTTATATATTATATTTAAAAAAAAGCGATTAAAATTTAATGACTTATTACTGGAATGATTAGACTGGACTGTTATTATTAAAAACTCTACCAAAATTGGATTGTTAATTTATGAAATCACAAAACTTTAACACAGAGTTACATATAAATCAAAACCTTATTATACTGCATTTAATTTTTTTTAACCTTTACTCCTTTTTTGAAATTGATGGAATCAATATCAGAGTTGTAAAGAGATTGAACATTCATGCCATAATCAGAATTCTGTATTGCAGCAAGCAAAGCAATATCATTTATCGATTGAAGTTTCTCATTAAGACAGACAATCTCACATTGAAGATTTGATAATTCTTTCTGTTTTTTCACAAAGATTTGATATTCTTCTGAATAACTAGCTGTATAGTTATTTGTCATTTTAATTTCTTCTGCTGCCAATAAAACATCTAACTCATGCACTTCATCTTCAAAGAAGTTAAAAAAGTTCAGATAAATTCCAAGAGCCATGTGAAGACTTGGTAAAGATACCTTTATAATATCATATAAAAATATACTTTTAAATTTATATATTATATAATTATTAATGACATATTTTATAAGCATATAAAAATATATTAATTTTAATGTATACATAAATACAATATATATATATATAATATATATATATATATATATATATATATATATATATATATATATATATATATATATATATATATATATATATATATATATATATTTATATATATATATAATTATATATAGACACACACACACACACAGAGGATCTACATACATCAACTTATTTTTTGAAAGAAAATGCAGTGAGGTGTAAATACTTATTTACACCTCACTGCATTTTAGGTTTTAGTTAGGGGTTCATAGTGTAGTTTACCTGTTAGCAGAACAACTTCACATTTGCATGTTCTTATTGATTTCATACTTAATTACATGCAATTTATAATTATCCTAGACTATGTGATGTTGGACAGCCACCCCTTACATAGATAAATATCATAGTTCTAATAATACAAAAGATTAAATAATTAATGAACAAAACATCTATACCTGATCTAAAGGTATTTTTAACATTGGCTCTGTTATAACATTATTAAAATGTTTAGCATCATACAGCTGACCTCCCTTTTCTATGAAACTTTTATAATCAGTATACAAATTTTCTAAGGTACGAACTTTTATCTCTGCGCTTTGACTTTCAATACCTTTCATATCAGTCGATGTAGCATTACAAAAAAGACAACAATGTCTCCCTTGAATATATAAATAAATTTTATAATTTAATGAAAATTATATTAAATTTATTAGCTATTTTCTTACTTAAAAATTACCTGTAGCTCCAGAAATACCATAGAGTGCACAAAGAAACTGATAATCTCCAAAAAAAAAAAATTCTGATGCTATTATCCTTATGGTGAATCCAATAATTATTATATGAAATAATCAATAATACTTAATACAAAAATTTAATTACATTTCCGACTATGGTAATTTTTATCTGTCAGATTATCTAAAATCGTTTATCTAGATTTAAATATTTAATCCAAACCAAAATAACTAACAACATTGTAACAAATATATTTTTAACTTTTACAAACAAAAATGTAACTATAGTTAACACCCAAAAAGTTCTTTTTGTTGTACAAAATTGCCAAAAACTCTTTCATAATAAAACTTAAATTAGAAAATTGCATAATGGGAACTTGTCCAAACAAAATAGGATGTTAAACTAAAAATAAACATGGATGTTACAAACTTATACAAATAAAATCAGTTCAACATATTTATGCAACTTACTTATATTTCATTCTTTGAAAATCTTCAATTTGCTTTTGAAACCTTTCTATGGTTACTTTAATGTTAATTCTGTAATCTTTGGCTTCAAAAATGCTAAACACTATTGTGTTATCTTTGCTGTTTGAATTATGAGTATTAACTATTTGATAACTCATTTTAAAACTGCCTCCTCCATAGTCTCCTCCAATTTTAATTTGGATCTCTTTTTGTAAAATAAATTCATGATTAATAAGACTATTGCAGCTAAAAGAAAAATACAGATTAGAATGCAATATAATTTTCAAACAAATGTGTATTTTATAAAGTTAAAATATTGTTATTATTATTATTGTTGTTTTTATTATTATTATTATTATTATTATTATCATTATTATTATATCACCTTTCTAATTTATTAAAATGCCTTAGGATATTTGTTGGCAAATGTTCTATGTAGCCCCAAGGTGCCAATTTAATATCAAAGGTACCTTTTACTTCTTTTTGAAATGCAAATGGAGCATTTTCAACTATCATATCGTCTCCTACTAAACTTTCAAAAAGTAGCCTTTGTGAAGCATGTAAGGCTATTTTAATATTGAATGTCTTTAACCACCTGTCAATATATATATATATATATATATATATATATATATATATATATATATATATATATATAGGCATTATGAAATTATTAGCACCATATATATATATATATATATATATATATATATATATATATAGGGGAGAACCTTAATGAATGGGACAATTATTGAATGGGACAAAATCAAATTTGCATAGAAGCATCTACGGTTGGCTATCCAAACTCCTGTGGTAATAAGTGTTTGACACAACCATTCAACAGACCAAATCTTTATTTCTATTATGGTCTAAACGTAATGGCATTGGATGTTATTGTGTTTTGAAGAACAATAAGTAATTTTTAAAAACAATTTTCTGTGTCTGATTTTCCAATTTTCTGTGTCTGTGAACTCCAATTTTCAACACCCAAATGTCTCTACTTTTTAAATTTGTAAAGTATTTTTGTTTAGGTATTACTGTTTTTAACCTGTCCTGTCATTTGTGGATATAGTGGGAAGCCTATTGAATGGGACAAAGTATTGATTATTGAATGAGACTTGTCCAAACAGCCTGATATGAAAAAAGTAAAAAAATATATTTCGGCAACTTAGTTATGGTCACACATAATTTTATTTTTAAATACATTTTAATTTGATGTTAAAATGTGGTTATAAATAAGTGTGACCAAGGCTTTAGCTAAAATTCAAAATTGTGTTTATAGCACTAAATCTCTATTAAAATCTTTTCTTTAGTATTCTTTAAAGTTGAGCCGATCAATAGTTTATTAAATGAAATTAATTTTAAATATTTAATTAGATATGTTGATGTATGATATTTATAATATGTATAAATGTTTAATTAGATATGTTGATGTATGATATTTGTAATATGTATAAATATGGATAAATGTTTAATTAGATATGTTGTTGATAACAGAGTATTAAAAAGATAGCAAATATTATATATATATATATATATATATATATATATATATATATATATATATATATATATATATATATATATATATATATATACATACATATATATATGTATATATATATATATATATATACATATATATATATATATATATATATATATATATATATATATATATATATATATATATATATATATATATATATATATATATATATATATATATACTTATAATTATTTTTTTGTATTTATTTATTGTATTTATATACATTTATGTGTATCTATTTACACACACACATATGTATTTATATCATATACTGTATGTATGTATATGTATCATACATATACATACATATATATGTGTGTGTATATCTGTGTGTATTTTAATTATATATTTCATGTTTGTATTTAAATATTTGCATATGGCATATATTTGGTTTTTTGTGAAGTTTCAAATTTTATTTTAGATGAAACCAAACACAAAATTAATACGTAAAAACTCTTTAGATGTTGAAGATGCAGTAAAAAGTGTTCTTAAGGGTATGTCCATACGAGATGCAGCTGAAATGTATAGTTTATCAAAATCTGCAGTAGGTAGAGCTGTTAAAATGGCATGATGTCAAAAGCTGCCAGACTATAAACACATTGTAAACATTGGAAATAGAAAAATATTTCATGTGTCTGAGGAAAGTGCTATTGCAAATTATTTGCAAACGTCTTCAAATATGTGCTATGGTTTAACTAAATTACAAACTAGGCAATTAGCCTACAAGTACGGAATTGCATTAAATTCTAACAGTATTCCAGAGTCATGGCACCAAAATAAAATGCAGGAAAGCAATGGTTGGAAAGTTTTTTGATACGACATCCAAAATTATCACTACGTAAGCCAGAAAAAGTTAGTCTTGCTCGTGCAACTGCTTTTAATGAACATACGGTGTCAATGTTTTTTGATAACTTGTTAGAAGTTCAATTAAAATATAAATTCAAACCAGAATGTATTTTTAACGCAGATGAGACAGGATTATTAACAGTAACAGATCCTCTAAAGATTATTTCAACTCGTGGAACAAAAAGGGTTTCACAAGCAATATGCAAATGTAACTGGAAAAATTTCGTTGGGCCTGCTTGGATTCAGTGTTTTACTTGTCAATGGTGGATATGTGGTAATTGTAATAATAACAGCAAGAAGCGTTATTATGAATGTGAACTATGTGAAGTTGACTGTTGATATCTTCTACACTTTCTTTGATGGTTTTTATTTCATGTACTTTGCAACAAGCAATAATTGTTGATTTTTATATTTTGGTTAAACATAAATACAATGAATTTTTTAAATATCTAATAAGATGCTTTGTTATTTCGTTTTTTGAAAGTAAACTAGATACTTTATATGGTATTAAGTTGTTTATTTATAATTTAGCATAGGGATGCTGCAGGCAATGACTCATTTCCCTATTGGAAATGTGTCATTACTGGGAATTATATCCAAGCATTTAAAAAACGCTTTTTGTTTTACTAAAAACAATTATTCGTGTTTTTAATTTAATTTTAATATACATATATGTTTTAATAAAACTATTTTAGGTTTGTCAATATATGCAGACATTCGGCCATATTTATAGCTTTTTCGGGTTCCCTAATGGTAGAAACTACCCTTACTGCTTGACTGGCTTGAAAGTTACTCAGGATCTCTCTTCTTTTATTAATTTTTTAGATTTGTCCCATTCAATAATTTTATTTGTCCCATTCAATGAGTAGTTCTTAATGAATGGGACAAATGCCATGGTCTTATTAAACTCTTTTTTTACCAATACCCATATGCGGAATCAATTTTTTTGTTTTTGTTTATCATAGTACGAGAGTTAACAGTTATCAAACTATTTTCAAAGTGATTTTTAAACAAATTTATCAACCTCAAAAAATGCATTTTACGAAAACTGTCCCATTCATTAAGGTTCTCCCCTATATATATATATATATATATATATATATATATATATATATATATATATATAATATTTAATGTGATATCAAGTACTGTTATTTTACTTTATTGTAAATGTCCTAAGTGTATATGGTACATTATATCCTAATTTGTATAATTATTTTAGCCTGTTTTGTTTTCATCTGTTTCACAAGCTTATGTTAGCAGCAACAAGGCATCAATCAAAACATTAAGATGTCGAAATATTTTGGTAAAAAATCAGCTGGAAATTATTGCAGGTAAATCTAATGATGCAGTTGGTTGCCAATCCTCAAAGCTGTTTAATTCATTTCAACCTGAAATGAGGGAATTAATATTAACCAATTCAAATATTAAAAGAGTTACGATTGGTGCAGCTGAGATTATAGTAATGAAAGCAGATTTAAGTTTGCCTTGGGAAAAACTAAAAACAACTTCTAGGTAGATAATTTTCTTGCAGATTTTAGGTTTTGTTGAATTTTATTGTAGCATTTGTAATAATAATAATAACATTATATATATATATATATATATACATATATATATATATATATATATATATATATATATATATATATATATATATATATATATATATATATATATATATATATATATATACATATATATATATACATATATATATATATATATATATATATATATATATATATATATATATACATATATATATATATATATATATATATATATATATATATATATATATATATATATATATATATATAGACATTATGAAATTATTAGCATCATATATATATATATATATATATATATATATATATATATATATATATATATAATGTTATTATTATTATTACAAATGCAGTAAAGTTATAAATTATTATAAACAAAAACAGTAAAGGTAGCTTTAGCTGAAAATAGATTTTATTCACATTCAGAGGTCTTGTATTTTATTTAAAACATTTCTTAGTAAAGCTACAAGTTATATCTCTTGGCCCTCCACTTTTAAATGTAACTAAGTTTTCTTCACTTTTAGCCATCATTTGTTTGACAGTGTGAGGAGCAGCATCTTCAACTATTCTTGGAACTACACTGTCTTTTGTTAGTTAAAAAACATCTGATAACAGTTGGGCTGAAAAGTTCGTATCGTTTCTAAGAAATGGCGCCACTAGAATTAAATTCATACCATTTTTAGTTAGTACCAACCTTGAAAAGATACGTGTAAAAATTTGACAGCTGTCAGATTATTAGTTTGTGATATATTGCTCTAGTAGTGACGCTACTTTTGTTATTGTGAAAAAAATGGAAAAAAAAGAATTTCGTGTGTTGATGAAACATTTTTTTTTAATGAAAAAAAGTGCTGCCGATCCCAAAAATGGCTTGATGAGTGTTATCCAGACTCTGCACCAGGCGAAGCAACAATTCGTAAGTGGTTTGCAAAATTCCGTACTGGTCATATGAGCACCGAAGACGATGAACGCAGTGGACGCCCAAAAGAGGCTGTTACCGATGAAAATGTGAAAAAAATCCACAAAATAATTTTGAATAATCGTAAAGTGAAGTTGTTGCAGATAGCTGACACCTTAAAGATATCAAAGGAACGCGTTGGACATATTATTCATGAGTATTTGGATATGAGAAAGCTCTGTGCAAAATGGGTGCCGCGTGAACTCACAATCGATCAAAAGCAACAACAAATTGATGATTCTGAGCAGTGTTTGGAGCTGTTACATCGAAATAGAACCGATTTTTTTTGTCGATACATAACAATGGATGAAACATGGCTCCATCACCACACTCCGGAGTCCAATCGACAGTCAGCTGAGTGGACTGCACGCCATGAACCGACTCCAAAGCGTGGAAAGACTCAACAATCGGCTTGGAAGATTAAAGCCTCTGTTTTTTGGGATACGCATGGTATAATTTTCATCGATTACCTTGAGAAGGGAAAAACCATCAATAGTGACTATTACATTGCGTTATTGGAGCGTTTGACGGATGAAATTGCAAAAAAACGACCTCATTTAAAGAAGAAAAAAGTTCTGTTTCATCAAGACAACGCACCGTGTCACAAGTTAGAGAATACGATGCTTAAATTGAACGAATTGGGCTTCGAATTGC